GAGCTGAAGGTTCGAGTTGCCAAACGTCAGCCTTGAAACCTTAATGACTTGGAGAAGATCTGCAAAGAGGAGTGGGACAAAATCCCTCCTGAGATTTGTGCAAACCTGGTGGCCAACTACAAGAAACGTCTGACCTCTGTGATTGCCAAGAAGGGTTTTGCCTGCAAGTACTAAGTCATGTTTTGCAGAGGGGTCAAATACTTATTTCCCTCATTAAAATGCAAATCAATTTATAACATTTTTGACTTGCGTTTTTCTGGATTTTTTTGTTGTTATTCTGTCTCTCACTGTTCAAATAAACCTACCATTAAAATTATAGACTGATCATTTCTTTGTCAGTGGGCAAACGTACAAAATCAGCAGGGGATCAAATACTTTTTTCCCTCACTGTAGCTAGCAACAGCAAGCTAGCTAGCTAAATGGCCATGAATGTTTCATGTGTTTCGACCTGTCCCCAAATTAATATAGTTGGTTCAGAGTTCGTTTTGATATTTCAACCTGCGTGTCCTGATCGCGTCTGTTGTGGATGGACAAAATCAACATGTGCGCGATGGCACACGCATGCGCGTGCCCGGTCTAGTCAGCATGTAAAAGTAATAAATCAAGTAAGACGCTAGAGGTATGTCGCTGCAGATAAGTTGGGGAAATGTTAAGGAAGCACTATTCACAGGGCGGCCCTAGGCAAAAGTGACATTAGCGACCGCTTAGGGTCCCGCGGCCACTAGGGGGCCCCTGACCCCAAATAAACTGAGTTAGGGTCTCAACTTACTGTTGAGAGTTAGAATAGTAGAATACACAAGGTGCAATTTCGAAATCTGGTTGTGCATCAGCAGGTTCTCTTGCTATGTGAGTCACTGACAGTCACTCAATTAGCCCAAGTAAAACATTTTTAGATTGGTAAGTTAGTCTAGCCAGCTATCTAAACTTGTAGTAATCATGGTCGAATTACCGACTGGGCATGCAGGGCACGATTTTATTAGTCACTCTCACTCATATCATATTAACATGGCATAAATCATGGCAAAATGTGTAGAATTGCAGGAAATTAGCTTCAAAACTACACATTTTTCTCTCTGCCCTATGGCAAAATGAGTAGAGTTGCATGAAATTAGTTATAAAATTGCAACATTTTCTCTATGCCCCATGGCAAAATGTGTAGAATTACAGGAAATGTACTTACATTTTTTCTCTCCGCCGTCAAGCACTAAAATGTTTTGCACGCGAGGTGGAGGGGGGGGGGGGGGCCTGACGGTGTACTTTAATAAGGGTTGATGGTGTACTTACAGCGCCGGTGAGAACTGTGATGGTTAGACTCCTGCTACTCTTCAGAACTCTGACAGCCTGCAGACACCAATAAAGACAAAACTTAACTGAGCAATAAAAACTAAACTTTACAAAGCAAATGTATTGCATTTCATGTGTCCTACCTCTTTGTGGTCCAGATTGGTGAATTCCACCCCATTCACCTCCACGATCTGGTCACCAATCTAACAACAAAAAAACACAATACAATCCACAATACCAACCATGCAAAAACACACACACATTTCAGTACTTTATTTGATCCACATTGGGACATTGTGGCATACTAGGACCAAGATACAGTGCCTTCAGAAAGTATTCAAAGTATTCATACCCCTTGACTCCACATTTTGTTGTGTTACGGCCTGAATTCAAAATGTATTAAATATTTTTTTTCTCACCCATCTACACACAATAGCCCATAATGACAAAGTGAAAACATGTGTTTAGAAATGTTTGCAAATGTATTGAAAATTTAAAAAAGAAAGATCTTATTCATATAAGTATTCACACCCCTTTGCTATGACACTCCAAATTGAGATCAGGTGCATCCAATTTCCATTGTTCATCCTTGAGATGTTTCTACAACTTGATTGGAGTCCACCTGTGGTCAATTCAATTGTTTGGACATGATTTAGAAAGAAACACACCTGTGTACAGTATATAAAGTCCCACAGTTGACAGTGCACGTCAGAGCAAAAACTATACCATAAAGTCTAAGGAACTGTCCGTAAATCTCCTAGATAGAATTGTGATGAGGCCTACATCTGGGGAAGGCTATAAAACAATTTCTAGAGTGTTGAAAGTTTCCAGGAACACAGTGGTCTCCATCACTGGGAAATTGAAAAAAATATGGAACTACCCAGACTCTGCGTAGAGCTGGCCGTCCAACCAAACTGAGCAACCGGGCAAAAAGGGCCTTGGTCAGGGAGGTGACCAAGAACCCAATGACCACTGACAGAATTACAGAGTTCCTTGGCTGAGATGGGAGGACCTGCCAGAAGGACAACAGACTATACAGCACTTCAACAACCTGGGCTTTATGGGCGAGTGGTCAGACAGAAGCCACTCCTGAGAAAAAGGCACATGACAGCATGCCTGGAGTTTGCAAAAAGGCAAGTGAAAGACTTTGAGAGCATAAGGCAAAAAAGGTACTTCTTGGCCTGAATGCAAAGCGCTATGTCTGGAGAAAACCAGGCACAGCTCATCACCCGTCTAACACCATCCCTACCGTGAATCATGGTGGTGGCAGCATCATGCTATGGGGATGCTTTTCAGCAGCAGGGACTGGGAGACTGGAAAGGACCAAGGGAACAATGAATGGAGCCAAATACAGGCAAATCCTTGATGAGAACCTGTTTCAGAGTGCAAACGACCTTAGACTGGGGTGAAGATTTACGTTCCAACAGGAAAATGACCCCAAGCATACAGCCAAAGCAACGCTGGAATGGCTTCAGAACAAGAATGTGAAAGTCCTTGAGTGGCCCAGCCAAAGCCCAGACTTAAATCCCATTGAAAATATGTGGAAAGACTTGAAGATTGCTGTTCACCACCACTCCCCATCTAACTTAACAGAGCTTGAAAAAATCTGCAAGGAAGAATGGGTGAAAATCCCCAAATCCAGATGTGCAAAGCTGATACAGACATACCCAAGACGACTCAAAGCTGTAATCGCCGCCAAAGGTGCTTCTACAAAGTATTGACTGAGGGGTGTGAATACTTATGTAAATTAGATATTTCTGTATTTCATTTTCAATAAATTAGCAAAAATGTCTAAACATATTTTTACTTTAACATTATGGGGTACTGTTGATGGGTAAGATACATTGTATTTAATCAATTTTGAATTCAGGCTGTAACACAACAAAATGTGGAATAAGTCAAGGGGTATGAATACTTTCTGAAGGCACTGTAGATGGAATCTTGAGACATGGTCAGAAAAAGTTTCCAATCCAGTGAAGTTTCTCATTGATCTTGACAAAACATTATGGGTCCATTCTTTTAAGTTTAAACTTTTTCTCTGTCTCAAAATGCGCATCAGCCAATTACAATTGTTGATGTAGTTGCACATGGCACATTCTGTCAACTGTGGGACCTTATATAGACAGGTGTACTGAGTAAAGGGTCTGAATACTTATGTTATTTGCTAACATTTCTAAAAACCTGTTTTCGCTTTGTCATTTTGGGGTATTGTGTGTAGATTGATGAGGAAAAACATTAATTTAATCAATTTTAGAATAAGGCTGTAACGTAACAAAATGTGGAAAAAGTGAATGGGACTGAATACTTTTCGAATGCACTGTATATCTCCTTTAAATGTTGATATTTGGTTGCACTGTCAACCAAACACAATTCAATATTCCTTTTGTAATACAGTAAATAGCCTAAAGTTAAGGCTATCTTACAAACTAATGTAACATTCAACCTTAAAATGAGTAACACATCCATGGCCACATTTTGAGGTTACTGTAATTGTACATTTCTCCTTATTTAATCATATAAAGCGTGAATGTTCAAGATAGCATGCATAAGTCTGACATTGTATTCCCATTTAAACTTTGCTGTGCTTTTAAATGGTTGAAAGCACAGTGATAGACATTTGGGTGACAACTTAAACCAAAATTCTGACATTGTTTTCCATTGGAATTTGGTTGTGCTTTTAGATGGTTGAAAGCATAGTGATAAAACATTAGAAATTCAACTAACTTTTGGTTATCTTTTTGAGTGGGTGAATATACAGTAGTTTGTAATCTCATTGATCAATGACTCAACCCCCCAAAAAAGTATAATGCTCGCTGGTATGGACCCAGCGAGTTGACTTGTTGTCATCGTGATTCATTTCTAGATGTTCATTTCAAAGTGGTTAACAGTACGCTGAACAGGGCCAAACTCTTACCTGTAGTCCTACTTCAGCAGCCAGGGAGCCAGATTTGACGTTACTGATGTAGATGCCAGGCTTCTGTGTGGGGCCACTGGAGATGCTGACGCCCATGCCCTTGGTGCCCACTAGGCTCAGGAACACCTTCTTTTCCTTGATCTCCTTCCCTCCCATGGACGCCAGGCCTGCCACACTGCTCTTCTTATCCTGAGAGAAAGAGAGAGGGGGGGGGGCAGAGAGACGAGAGATTGTATTACAGTATGTTTTTTTCTGCCTCCTAATTTGTAGGTCACTCTGGATAAGAGTGTTTACTAAGTTACTAAAATGTGAATGAAGAAGTGCCAAAGGGTGTTACTCTTCAAAGAATATGAGAGAATATTTAATCTAAAAGAAAATGAATCTCATTCTCACCCCAGAATAAGACACAAATTGGTCCACGAACTGCCACTTCAGAGGCTCCTCTGTGGAACTGGAGAACAACAGAAAGCGGAGGATAAATCCGATTCTATATTCATTTATGTATTTATTTCAGCTTTATTTAACCAGGAAGATCCCTTGAATAAGATTTTATGAGCAACACCTGGCACAGGAAATACATAAATCAATAGTCTAGCTACCATCTCAGTGCTCACCGGATGCCCCTTATCCAGGATATAGTTTATTGTTTTATTTTTATCTCACAGTTTTTTCTAAATCAGAAAGTTGTCAAATACAATACCAACAAAGAGAGAAACAGCCCTACCTCTTCACTGGTATCATCCCAACCTCTGCACAAAGAAAAGGAGGAAAGAGAAAAGGATCAAAATCGAAATAAGTCTTATTAACTTGTGCATTTGACATAAGGATGAGTGAGTATATTGGTTGGGTGGATTTCGTTTAACTTACGCCTGACTTTGAGCGACACGATTTTCTTGGTCTTGATGAGGTTGATGACTTCCTCGTGGATACAGGAAGAGATGGCGTATCCATTGATGCGTACAATCTCATCTCCCATCTGGAGGTCACAGAGGTCAGATGTTACGACCAGCACTTTTTATGTAGTGTGACAGAGTGTGTGGCTACTTTTCTGGGTGTTATGTTTCACAGTGTATGTTTGCCTCTCTTTAGATATTTGATCACATCCCCTCCATCCTGCATACTATGTACCATTTGGGAGAATATGTCTTGTGGGTAAGGATGAGTCTCTGAAATGTTTTTTTTCCCCAGATGCCAGACAGGATGGCTGCGTCGCCTCAGCTGTAGCTGTGTGTCAATTTGTGTCATCAGTTATTGAGCTAATGGAAGTGTGTGACATCCTGTCACGCTGGCCGAGGGGAATAACTACAGCAGACCGACAGAAAAGCAGATGCAATCAGTCTGAGTCGTGACTCAGGAGCAAATGACTTCAGGAGGAGATGAAGGACAGGAAGGTACTTCAAAAGTTCCTGGATGTTTTTACTAAAGCGGTTTGTTCCTCGGATTGATTTTATTTGATGCATGTACAAGTGATGCACACACAAACACGCACGCAAATAAACAAACAAACAAACACACACACCTGCAGGCCACTGTTTCCAGCCTGTCCATCCTTGACGATCTGTGAGATGAAGAGTCCACAACCGAACTCCAGGCCCCCTCTCACACTCAGACCCAGACCCTCAGGATGAGTACGATCCAGACGCACCTCCTTCAGCTTACTGCACCACCAGGATGGAGAGAGGGAGGAGGAGAGGGAAGACAGGAGGGGAGAGGGAGAAGGGGTTGGATGGAAGATGACAGGAAAGGGTGGAGGAAGGGGTTATCAGTTCTGTGTTATCAAATTGGTGTACATTCTCGTTACCTATAAGTACTAATAGAGTAATTACATGGTATAAGACAAGTGCATCTTATTGAAAGTCTATGGGCTCCAGCCTGGTGGGTGGCAGCGACCCCTCCACTCACCGTGACCTCTTGGGGGTGAGCAGGTCGTACTCCACCTGGTGTTTGAGGGGAATGAGGGGCCGGATGGCATCAAACAGCGGCAGGCGACTGGGCTCATTGATGACCAGCTTCAGGTCCCCCACCAACACTGGCAGCTCCATGGACCTGAGGGAGAGGGCAGAGGGTCAGAGGACAGCTAAACACACACAAACGCACACTGCACAGTCATTCAGGAGAGAGCGAGATGTTTTGAACACCTTTCTTTATCATTCCTATTTTTGACTATGAGGACAAAGTGACTCAAAGCAGCACACAGAATGACTAGTACAGAACAGTATGATAAACGCCATGCCCTTATGGGTCATCAAGGATTCCAAGAATGTGCAATCTACCTACCAACTCCAATGGGAACATAAGGCCTATGAATTATTAACATTTGCCATTTCACTCCTGACTCGTGCACGAAAGGGTAAAGGGCTTTTGTGAATAGCTGGCCAGGCTTGGTGGAGCACAGTGGAAAACTGATCATCGGTCTAACCAATGGGGTCTCGGGGCTCTGGCTCCTTACAAAGAGCACATGGAAACCAGCACCGCTAACTCCCCTTCACCCCCATTCAGTCCACATTATCATCATAGTCCTGAATGAAACCCTATCTCCCACCATACACCTGTATACACACACAATAATGCACACACACGCACACGGACATGCACACGCACACACAGAATACTTAATCCTCCTATATGTAAATGTACAATTTGAGAGAAATCAAGAGGTTTGCTTGACCATTTTCCATTTTTGTTGAAATTGAAGTGACACACAAAAGGTCATCTTAATTTTTTTAAGTACTGGCAGACCCACTAACAATCCACTTCCCCAAATAAAGGATCAGCAAACTGAAATCAGTTGAGGGAAGAAAACTGTCCGAAAATTGGTCATCCTGAAAAAAACGACAAGTCAATCATTTAGCACTAAACTAAAGTGAAAGTGTCCTAAAGTGAAAGTCAAACAGAGATGGTGGTACTCACTGGTGGTACATCCGCAGGACATCGTACAGGTAATCCTTTTCTGCCTCATTGTCAATGAGCAGCTCCACCTAGACAGCAAAGGCATCTTTAGTCTCATTCTCATCTTTATCATCCTCATCATCACAGACAAGTTGGCAGCTGCCACAGTCAGGGAAGGCTGCAGGCTCTATACTGACACATCCCTCTCCGCTGTGGTCCTTTCAGCATAACAGGGGGCATTCCCTTTAGCCCTAGGTGTGTGTGTGTGTGTGTGTGTGTGCATCAGTATGTGTGTGTGTGTGTGTATCTTACCTTGTAGCGACTGAACTGCTGTAGAAAAGTTTTGAGGAAGCGCTTAGGCCAGTCATTAATATACCCCATCTCCTTCATTAAGGAAGGTTGTCTATCCGTCTGTGTGTGAGAGCCTCAGTGTGTGTGTGTGGGCACGTACCTGTGTATGTGCATATGTTTGTCAATGCTGCATTTGTGTGCCTATGCCTGTAAAGCGTTAGCATCAATAGTATCTCAGCTCTATTGTTTGTTGCTGGTGGTAGAAGGCCAGGTAGCTTTCCTGTTTTCTAGATCCCTTCTCCTGTGAAGTGGCCGGCCCTTACTAGGACTGTGAGCTGGTAGCCACACTTATGCCACCGGACTAGGGAGGGGGAGTACGGGAGCGAGACGGAGGGGTGGAGGTTGGAGGGCGGGTTTGGAATAGTGAGGTGAGCAGTGTCCCCTTACAGTACATCCCTGTGACAAGCAGTCCTCCACCATACACTCTTAGAATAAGGGTTGACTCGAGGAACCCTGGAGATTTTAAAGGAACCATTGCAGTCAATGGGTTCATATTTGCACCTTTGGTTAGTTGAGGGGTTATTGGAAGAACCTTTAATGTTTCAATGTAGCAAAGGGTTCCTGGAGAAACCTTTTTGCTCGGGTGTGCGGAGCACTTTGAATACATTTAGATGTTGGATTTGTTGCGCTGCCAGACTCAGAAGAAGATGAAAATATGTGGTTTTTGGCAATGCCTTTATGGGATGGCTAACTTGTAAACAATTACCCATTCCTATATGAGTACTATTTTAATAGCAATGGTGAATAATACAACATTGGCTGTCAAGCCAATTATATTATATGACTGTAGCCTCCTGTTTTTTTCATTCCGAAAAGTTTATTGTGATGGTAATGACGTTTGTTTATGATGATAAGTATTAGGTGTTGGCTTAGGTCGCTAGCTAGCTACAGTATCTTCAACCTAGCGTACACTCTTAAAAATACTTGGTTGTTTGGATGGCCCAACTGCTGGGTTGCAGGCATTGGGTCACTTCGTTAGGTGGTTTTCTTTAAAAAGCGACAGGTTTGATTGTTGATGCTGGGTTATTGATGCTGGGTTAGTAAGAAATGACCCGGCGAGTCAGATAAGATGACCGGGGGCGTGGCTTAGTAGGGGTGTGGCTTTCATATAGTTATTTTTGGCCACCCATGAGAGTAAATGTCATTCCTGTTAATTTGTTCATTGGTTCACTTAGTTAGGTGGTTTTCTTTCAAAATAGACAGGTTTGGTTGTTGATGCTGGGTTATTAAGAAATGACCCAGCGGGTCAGATAAGACGACTGGAGGTGTGGCTTTCAGATAGTTATTTCTGGACATCCGTATTGTTAAGGTTGAACACTGACAGTTTTGTACCTTCATTGAGGCTTACAGAGGTGTATGAGTTCCTCAAGAGCCTATGCAAATCCCAATGTTGGAAGAGCCACCACTTTATTACTATATGTAATCAACAATGTTAATATGTAATATGCATAAATATTCAAGGAAGATTTAAAAAGAAATTGTGCTAAAAGCCACAACTCCAATAAGCCACGCCTCCAATCTTCTGATAAGCTGCCGCCGCTACAATATATTATTAAAAGGGTTCAAAATGGAACTCCTCCATCACAAAAAGGTTCCTGTTTGAACCTTTACACAGGCAGCCCAGTATCAACGTATAAATGTAAATCTGTGAAGCTTCCTCAAACGGTTCCTCAAATAACATTTTCAGAGGGGTTCCTGTGGATGAACCTTTTTGACCTGGAAAGGTTCCCCCACAGTGGCAATCTTTTTAACCCCAAAAGGTTATTCAAGGCTCCTTTACTTCCAAGAGTGTACAAAGAAAAGGCTTAGAGATACACACACTCACACACATGCACACGCAGACACCTAGACACACATTACCGCACACAAGCACAAACATGCAGGTTCCTGGGTGTATGACAGTGTGTTTATGGTTTCGTAAAGCTCTTGGACTCAACATTGAGAGACAGGGTAAGCAACGGTGACTATGTGCAGACTTTAGCACCCTGAACGGATGAAGCCAATGTCATAAAGAGCCACCCAGATACCACCGGTTATTCTGGGAATATGGACCAACACAAAGCTTATGTTATATATGAATTCCTCTTGTGTTCTCTAAACATTTCAACTCCCTTGTTCTCAAACATCCAACAAAAGCACAGGGGTGAATACAACACATACAACAAATAAGCTGTAAGAGAGATTGAAGGGCCCACTTCAATCTAACAGTAGCATATATTCACCTCTAAAATAAATTTGTCACCGCATATTAATTGTCACAAACATGACCAAAAAGACGTGCTGTTCTGTGGTGTTGTTGTTGCTCATGCCTTCCTGCCTGCCCGTCCTCTCTGTCTCTAATTGCTGCTGTAAATTGTCCCATCCTTTCCGCTCGGCTGGACATCCCTGACACGGTCTAAATTATCTAATGGGGAGCTACCAAGTGAGAGCCTACAACATGGAGGACAGATGGCTCTGGGTCCACATTACAGAGGACTGAAAACACCCAAACGTATCATGTTCCCTTTACACAGTTTCTCTTTTTGACATTATTATCAGAATACTGTCACCATGAGTATCCGTGAACAATTGTATGGCTATGTACAAAATGCATCATTGATATCTTTGTGTTGGGTCTAGAATGACCAACAGGCAAAAATATGTTGGAAACACCAGGTGAACGTTCTGCAATACACACAGTTCACCTGACAAACGACTAGCCTAACCAATCAGGAAAGCTGACACACAGGCCATAGGTAATCATGATAAAAGCCTAGCTTACCTGTACACACTCTCCCTACAATCTACATGTTTGTTACTGTATAGCCTATACACACATATGGTATTAAAAATGAATACATTAAATTAAATATCCTCACGAAGGGGCAACTTTTTAATCCTACACTACAGATAATTAACTTGTTGTATAACAGTTGTATAACACAACAGTCTAATTTCACAATTGTGAAATAAAGGATGAAACAATTCAATAAAAATCCCAGCCAAAACATGTTAGTCCTATTATGAACATTTTCTACACCTATGAAGACATTCTAAACGCATCTAAAGGCACCTGTGCAAAAGCCTTACCCCAACAGGGTTCAGAGTACACCATAGGACTTTGATAACAGCCAAAGCAAAATGAAACACAAATTAAGTTCTTACCTTGTGCCTAAATTCTCGAGCTACTTTTCGTTCCATTTTCGACACAAAGAAAACGCTGCCACTGACCTGTGTTCTATCGTCCTGTTAGCAACAGTTCCCTCTCAACAGTGGCGCTACCGACAGTGAACGCTGGGTGGTAGACATAAAGAATGATAGAGGCCTCTAGTGGCCAAAAGGCCTCTTTAGCATGGGCAGCGCCATTGAGGGCTTCCACCATGCTTCCGCCATTTTAAAGTAGTCAACTGGGTGGGTATTCCTATAGAGTACCACAGTATGAGTCATAATACCCATAAACCTAAAGGTCAAACAGGGAAATGGTTCCAATCGTTTTCCAGTATTCATTTTTCCCATAGGGGATTTTAGAAACACTTAACATAAGGGCTGTGTTTCGTGTAGCCTTACCCTGGCGTGACGTTTTGATAACTGTGTAAATCTCTCTAGAACAAGGTGACTTTCATCAATATATTTGTCTGTGTTTACCTCCCAAAAATGAAATGCCAATTAGCTGCTAATGTGGCTATCATAAAGAACTAGAAACGCCATGATGATTTGGACGAGACTGCCGAATTGAGGCACATTTTTGAATCTGAGAGTAAATAGAGCCGAATATATTGATAAAAGTCACCTTGTCTGAGAAAGATTTACATGGTTATCAACA